CGAGAAGGATATTAAAAATTAGTTGGCTTTTTTAGCGAACTTGCAGAGGTAACAACACCAGTGGCGTATCTGATGTACTAATTTAACACAACAATATATATTTATATTTTTTTATGGAAATGCAAAGGCACGACAGAAAAACACATAAGACGTTTTAAAAGCGTTGCCTGTGAGAAAGTGCCGGTTTACGTTCGATTCAAATCCCTATAGATTTGTAACAACGGTGCCGGGAAGTTTATGCAACAATAAGGCTATTCTCCAAAGTGTAGGTCGAAGTGTGTTGAGTTTAACCTCAAAACAATGGGTAGCTATGGGTTGCCGAACGAACTTCGTTTTTTTTTCGATGTTTGAGGGGCTCTAATCTTGAATAGTACTATGTATATGTATCTATGCGAATGGTTATAGCGAACGATTTTTCAAATCCCGTATTCTTGAATTCATGCTGCGATTATTCGCTGGCATTAATACATATCCATTGCACAGATATAAATAACAGCTTCTACCCACTCGTTCTTCAAGTAACAATCAAATCGCATACCTGCAAATGTTTCAAGAATACCAATTTTTCAGGAATCGTTCGCCTAGGATTCCGCCCCATTGTATCCGAAAGAGAACCATAAATGGTTACTTGTAACTCTTTGAGAAAGTTTGATAGCTATGAACAAAAGCGATCAGGTGAGTCATAACATGCTCTCTATGATTTTCTATGTATATCAACTAGTTAATAGTTTTACATGCTAGATTATCTACCAAGGTATTATGGTAGGTGTTATCCAAATCTTTCGCTCAGAACTGTGTCAGTAAAAGTTTGGATGCAGCTTTGATAAATATAAAATGAGTTGGATATGATCAATAAACCAGTTATGTGGTATATTAATGAAGAATGTATAAACTAAACGAATAAACTGAAATACATCGTACGTTAGAGGTAAGACTTCATTAATCCTTAGCGCGGTTATGTTTGTAATTTTGAGGGTTGCCGTTCATTTGGAAATGACAACTGGTTGAAAAAAAAAGCCCGTCTCAACCCATCGTACAGATAAAAAAACCGCTGTATTCATGATCCTGTTGTATTTGTCATAGATGTCATCAGCGGTACTGACTGTGAAACAGATGCAATGTTTGAAGTGTTCTGTTACAGAATAATCTTGAGCGAGAAGTGACGATGACAACCCCTCTCACGAAGTCATGAGATGAACAGAAAACTCAAACTAGAATATCTAAGTTTATTACTCAAAACCAACCTTCGACTTCGACCGAAGAATGATAAATTGCTTTTTGTGTCTCTCTGCGGCTTTACTCCAAGTAGCACCAAAACGCTGCATCCACCGTCCTATACACATGAGATCTCAGCAATGAAGCTAGGCTGAGTTAATGAGATCATCAAAAGAAAACAATCTTATGGAACAGAAAATGTGAAAATGTGACGAGGACTTCAATTCTTGAATTAAATGTGCATTCTCCAGAACATCCAAAGTCTGTCTTGAGGGGGAGTTGACATTCGAATTCCCGACTCAAGGAAAGCTAGCTCTTTCATAACTACGAACAGTCCAAGGTAGAAAGAGGAGGTCTGGTGAAAAACAATAAGCCATGTTTTGGATTTCATGGCTCTCAGGATCCACCTATAATGATGGGAGGATAAAAACTTGAAGTTACTCCGAAGATAGATGGAATTTTACTAAACTCAGTGAGACTCTTGTTTGACTCACATCATGTTTCACTTTGAAAGAGTATTCTTGGAACCAGTCAAATAAGTTTTCTGAAGATGGACTTCTATCAAAGGTTTTCACGTGAATTCTAAGCAACCCGTATTTTTCACCACTAACTTGAACTGTATCTATCTTTTCACATGAAATCACGTACATTCCTCTATATTCATTATCTGTGAGCTTAACGATATTCTCTGCATTGAACAGAGTTCACGCCACAGTTCACGAAGTCTACCAATCTTTTCTCCTATACTAATATAAATGTAAGTTTGTGAGGATGTATGTATGTATGTTTGTGTCTCTTTCACGCCTAAACGACTGAACGGATTTAGATGAAACTTTACATAAATGCAGCTTATACATCAGAATAACTATAGGCTACAATCTACGAAGTTTTTGTGTAATTTTGGTGTTATAATATAACGATAAGTATTGAATAAGCCAGAAAAATGATTGCTCCCTGAGAGCTATCTTGGCGTGCGCTGCCTATACCGTTGGAGTTATATAATGATAATGAACTGTAAGATTGTTTATCTCAAATAGTTCTGAATAAAATTCCGCGATAGCATATATCTACCTACCTCTTACGTGGTAGCCACTATATGCAAAATTCTGAGCCATAAATACAATTAAATTTAATTTCTTTTACAATTTCTTTACAATGCACATTTTAGAATATCTGTCAAATTCTTTTAAAAATCGATACAATTGTCGTCTTGAGTATTTAATATAGATAAACTTTGTCTTTTACACGAAGTATTTGGACGAATCGTTTACAAGTTATCACGAGAAGATTAACTTGACGCAACGCAGTAAGCAATTACGCGTCGCGTCTACTGTAAAACGACGGGGGACGACGCGCAGGGGTAGAGGGGCGGTTTAAACAATGAAACGCCATCGCCGAAAACGCGACCCGAACGCGAGCAGACGCGTAAGGGCAGACGTCGCTGACGGTTGTGTTAGTTTTGCGAATTTCTTTATAGGTAACATAATTCGATTCTCGAAGCTATTCATTACTGAGTGCAGTTGGCATTTTTTTTAGTTACTGTATTTTTAAAGTAAAAATATAAATTACTACCTGTGACCCGCTCTTATATTAACGTACAGCCGCAGCTACTGAACCTAGAATCTTGAATTGTGCAGGTAGATTCTTTGTATAGCGTAAATAAGAATCCACCCTCAGGGGAGAAAAATAGGGTTCAACAATTGTATTGAATATCGTCAGTTTTGAAGTTGGAACCTGATGTTTTGGGTTAATAAAAAAATATTGTAACTATTTGTTTAAAATGGTCTGTCAAAGAACAATTTGTTTAGGCCAGTCTCAAATTACCTTCACTGTAAGAATTCGATTTTCAATTATCGGAAATCATCGATTTAATGTTGATGAGAGACACTGCTTTGCACTGACGAGTGGCCAAACAGCCCGAAACCGGTCTGCAAGTGTGTTCCATTGAAAATATATTGCGGCAGTTGTATTGCCAACAGGAATAACTTCAGTGAAGAATCCTGCACTGATACCTGTTGAATATAATCCAACGCCCTTCGTGGTATTAGCCAGGAGAGTAGTTATTTTCTGATTGGTGTCAGTCCATTAACCAACAGTTAAGGTAAGTTTTGACTGGACTGAACGAATTGTTCTTTTAGATGGTTTCATTTACAGCCAGTCTCCAAGTATGCCCACTCAATTTGTGAAAAAAACAATAGGAGTACGACACGCCACTGCAATCCAACACAAACCATCTAAAATGTGTAAAAAATCGTACGGTTTTTCTCAGTATAATTTAAAAAAGTATGTGCATTCTACCGTGACAATTCTAAATTAAATTCTGGTAAAAAAAACCTTATATAATGAATTTACTTTTGTGTTCGTTACTTGTGAAGATAGTTCCAAATTTTCTTTATATTCGGTTACTGGAAAAATAACAATCAATTGAAATGAAACAGTCTGAACAATAGACTCAGGAGAATAAATAAAAATAGATATAAATATATAAGCCTCAAATCATTTAGTGGATTCCATCTGAAACAAATGTTATATACAAATTTTACTCCAAGATAATCCGTGAATGTTTAGTTGCAAAATGCAAGTATAGTCCAAGGGCTGATGTCAAAAATGTGCAAGAGTTTTCTGAAGGACCTGACAAAATGCAAAAGTTACAAGCAATTAGCAACAATCGATACGGACAGTTCCTAAATTATAACCTAACCTCAATATTTTTGCCCAGTCCAAAAATACTTCTTTTCCAAGCATGTCTTTTCACATAACATAGACCTAAATAATAACATATTTTTTCATCTTTTATCATTTTTACAAATGAGTGACTGTTTCAATGACTTTGTAGTTTTCAATAATGTTTTGGGGAATTTTAGCTTTGGAAAATCACTAGTTCCTGTCTTTCGACAGGTATAGAATAGCGCTGACGCTAGTGTCCCTATCCTTTGCTATGTGACTGTCGGGTTCCTGTTTTATATTTACTCATTTGCAATAAATTCCGAGCTTTCAGGAAACAGTTTAGAGATGTTGAAAAATATTACATCTTCACGAGCGTCCAAGTGACAGATGTGAGGTGCTGACTCCCACTAGTAACTAGTAACTTCCCACTAGTCAGATGGATCCTAAGTAGCAGAAAATTGACCTTCAGAAAACTCTTACACCTTTTTGGAGCCATCAAAATTAATTCTTTACTTTACTTTTGATAGATATAAATGAATATTCATTATTATACTAAAATTGTTTCTCCAAAATATATTTAAAAAATAAAGGAAAGGATTTTTTTTAGCGTTTTTCTCTGGGTTGAATAAATATGAAAACCTAAAATGTAAATTATGGTGTTCCAATACATTTTTGACTATACGTTTTACTTTGAGCACTAAATTTTGCAATATCCACAAATATTAGTAACGTTATATTTTTGATATGTTATTAGATATGCTATGATTGCTCTATTTTGAAATGTTTATATTTCCATGGAGGAAGGATTATCAAAATTTTACTGTGCTAAGACTGTTTCCACCTACGAGATTAGCAAATGTTCAATTGCATGGATCGCGAAGTTTCGTTTGCGATAAAACCCCACAGTACGTATCAGAAGGCTTAAAAAGCACCGCAAAAGCATTATAAACTAATATATACAGCATGCACCTGATAATAAATTAAATAAAATCAATTTGTTAATATTGCTGCTGAGAAGCGTTGGCAAGAAGCGAAAAAGCGAAAGCCAAGCATTAATCTTCTAAATTAATAAAGACATGTGAGTGGGTGAGATGTTTTTGTCTTGTTATTTTGCTGACCTGCCGGTCATCGCAATCTGAGTTGGACTCCAGCTTGGGCCTCTTCAACGCAGGTCCCTCGCATTCGGATGCTGTTATTCGTGGACTTGCTCTGGCAGATATATTGTTTTCGCCTTCCCGATCATGGCCCATGTTGATGTGTTTGTTCATGTAGACAGTTGATAACCTGAAATAAACAATTTGGTTAGTACAGATTATATTATCAAATAGGTATTTGGCAGTGATACTTGAAAATATGGAAAATCATTTTAGATTTTGAAATCATAAGGTGTCTACAACGCAAAATAGTTTAACTAATTACTGAAAATGAATTTAGTGGTCTTCCAATACTGCCAATCCATTTTTCTGAGAGACGTTGCATAAATGTTTGCTGCTACTATTCCTCAAATGAAAATAATATTCGATAACAGACCTAGAGCAATGAATCAAGGATGTAGACTAACACACATAAGCAACAATGCATCAATGGCCAAATACATCATCTGCAAACTGTAGAAGCAGATTGTTCTGAAATTAGACCAGATAAAGTGTGTATCATCAAAAGAAATGGATTTCAATCACCAAAATATATTAATTGTTATTTGAAGGAGATTCAACTTCAAGAGGACACGAAAAGACATCATAACACATTATTACCCTGTGAGATACTATTATAGTGTATGTGTCAAGGGTGTATCAAAACATGGCGCAGGACAATTCGATAAAAATGAAATGAAGAACTACCACAAATTCTTAGAGATACACCAAACGTGGAGAGAACTGATAGGTACTGCTATAACTAAAACGTAACTTCCAACTGTTCTGACGAAAGTCAAAAGTGCAGGTGGAAATCAGATTCATAGAATTATCAACAAGTGCCCTACAAAGATGAGTTCTAGACTCAACTCTGTGGAACGACGTATTACTATAGAGATGATGCTATATGGTTGTTAATGACTAACATCTTCTTTCGCCATGTTTAATGAGATTGAATCGAAAACGAAATCTGAAGCAACCCGTCTGCTGTTGGAAGGGTTGATAGAACAGCATCACTCAAAATCCTTGAAAGAAAGAGTCAGAGAAGAAGGACAAAGTCCACTTCCATCAGAGGAGTCAAAATCACATCGGAGGCCATAATACATGTGGAGTTTCACAATGGAAAAGGTAATAATCGTGAAATAATGTTACTGATGGGCAAAAATACCAGATATGACCCAAATACCAGTTTTGGAGTCCTTGCCATCTTGTAATAACAGGGGATGCGAAATTGAATCAATTCGAAATATGTGTAGGAACGAACATCAAACATAATCATGGCCCAACTACACCCAAGTACCCTAGCATCACAAACTTCATTATTATATTCACTAACCGTGAATAGTGACAGCCATTACGAGAACATACTTGGCAGAAACATCTGGTAAACCAACCAAAATCGAACATATACCTGGGCCAACATACAGGGAAACCTGGAGGGTTGTCTGAGAAAAAAACTGCTTCAACGGAACAAACATCAATTCAGAATAATCACAGGATTCCTCACCCTGAAAAAATACATCTACTGCAGGCAATGCGAAAAAAGAGAGAGGTAGTTTGTTATGATTTATGGAAATGTAAGGTCTGGATCACAGAAGGCGACTGTTTACCTTCTGTGTTTCATAGACAAATAAGTTGAAAAAAATCTAATAAACATCCAACAAAGGACTTGTAGAAACTAGAACAGAAAGCAAGATATTGAAAATGGATGAAAAGATGGAAGGAAAACCCAATAAGCCCATGAGCCACATAAATGCAGTGGAGGTTGCATATGGGTTCTAGGGTAACACTCAGTCGGGAGAAGAGACTCTTTAGCTTTACATACGTTTTTTCATGCTTTAGCACGACAAAACGTACTAAAATAAACATTCTTCCATAGTGAACAAAGCCTACTTCATTCCTTATAGTAAAGTTTTGTGAATAACAGCGGGGGGGGACAATTCCAGTAGATCTAGAATATGGATAAAGGATATACAAAATAGTAGCATGATTATCATCGAATTTGGTAACAAATTAGAGCGTTTGAAGGAAAAAACGACATAACTCTCAAGTAGAAAACAAGGTGGAATAGAAGTGGATATTCACTGAAAGATAAGAAAGATGATTCCAGATAAGTAAATCATACAGAGAATGGAGAAGAAATCCTGAGACGCAAGACAGCACAGAACCGACAAGATAATGCCACAGAAGAGTGACTCAAAAGGGTAAAATGTATATGCAAACTTTAAAAAATTGTTTTGCCGATTCTTCAAGACCGTGTTAGATATGTGCCTGAAGGAAAGGCTTTTTTCAGTGATTGAAAAGGTCTCTGAAAAGAGTCAAAAAGAATACTGTTAACTTTAATGTTGAAATTAGCAAATATCGAAAATGAACATAATCTATGAACATCTGCACTGTTCTTCAAAAGGTTGATAGAACGTGAATGCCAAATATCAAATATATGAAAACAATATGTAGAACATAGTCTCCTACAGAGATAACTTTATTAACGCACTGTATGAAAACTGCCCCTGAAGCCTAATACTCAACCTTCCAGCCTTAGAAGATGAAGATTTCAACCAAAACAATATTTAGAAGTACAGAACAAACTACAGCACAAATTGTACTTACTGCGTCTTGGAATAATAGCATCCAGAGTCTTTCACCACCTGTCTAGCTAGCGGGAACAACTCATCTCTCCTTGTCAAGAGGGCTGGTATAAACCTGCAGATCTGTGCCGCTGCTTCATTCACAGAAACCTCGTGCAAAGTCAAAGGTTTCTCAGGCTTTCGCTTACAGTCGAACCTGCCATAAATAGCTGCGTACCTTCTTATCTCGTCCATCCTGCGAGGATCGTTCTCAGGCATGGAAATCACTAGTTCTAGTTCTTTGCAAACTTTTTTCTTTGTGTTGTGAGGCTTTGGTTCGAACTGCGGTAATTGCTTGCTGAGCCTTTCGGCAGCTGCAGCTAGTTTGACTATTTGGCTTTCCATCAGACTTGGAGACAGTTGCACAGACATACTACCACTCGGGCTCGAGCTGGAAGATGGAGGACACGCTGGATCTAGAGGGGAGTAAGGCCTGGAAAATGGTCGTGAATTGCTTATGTCAATGAAATGTCATAGCAGAGTTTATGTAAGCAAGTGAGTGCCTGTTTTCTGACTTTTTTGATTGCTTGTGTATAAACGGTGCGAATTTCCATACAGTGCGATAGTAAAGACCCCCGTTAAAAATAATTTCCAAATGAATATTAGTAATAATAGTAGATCAATTATTGGTACATATTTTGTGTAAAATTTTATATATGTGTTGATTAAATTTCTTATTTGAGTGGAAATATTGCGAAGGCTTCAAATTTGTGCACGTTTAGCACGCTTAGCAGTTGATTCCCTTTTTGAGATTCTTTGATAGGAAATGAGACAATGAAAGGTTGACGACAGGAATTTTTCATTTGTATTTCTTGTATGAAAATATTGTGATTTCAATATTTGATGAATAAATTAATATGAGAATCTAGTTAATGACGGTTTGGGTATAGGCATTTATGTGAATGAAATAAAATAGAGGGTAGACAATTGCAATATGAAGAAGCAGTTTAGGGGCTATTCATGAAAGAAAGGGCTCAGAATTGAGCCCTGAGGTATTCCGTATTTTATATTCAACGAAAGTCATTTTTTGTGGAGGAAAAAAATTATCGACCTTTTTTGGGTAATTGTTACCTTCCACAATCTGAAAAAATATAATTTTTATATTTTTTCAGATTGTGGAAGGTAACAATTACCCAAAAAAGGTCGATAAAAAACCGTATTTTATGTTGTTGAGCTGGATATATTAACCTCAATATATTTATTTCTGTTGAACATATACTATGCTTGTGAAAGTATTATTCATTCCAGCATATTTATTTTTATTAACGAAATGCTTTGAAATACTTTCAAGTAACTGAAAAAATAAGGACTTCGAACACTCATCCTATATATGTTGAAAAATATTGAAAAGATTCACTTATATACATTTTTTCCACTATTCTCGTGTTCAGTCTAGAAATCGTGCATCTGCCGGGTCAGTCGATACCAGTTCAACAAAAAAGAACTAATGTTTCTGTGTATATTTACTGTGGAAAATTCAATACACCTAAATAAATAAATTATCCTGCCCAAAGAGCCACCACAATCTGTTGCGATCATGTAAAGTATAGATATGAAAATGTTAAAAAGACATTATTGTAATGACGAATTTTCACTTTGCACCTCATGGCGTAGAAGAAAAAAAACTGAATTCATGGGATTTACTTTACGACCGCACTGTATATTGAATTAAAAATCTATTCCAAAAATATTTAAAATCATTCATGAAATTACGAAAAAAATACCAAACGGAGAGATCGATTAGAAGACAATATTCTAATAATTATAATGTTCGATTTGGCTCTAATATTGCAAGGTTGTTTCAAAAGTTTTGTCCGTTTTTATGTCATGTGTTTTTGTAGCTAAATATCTCAGTATCTCGGTGTTAACGGCATTGACCAAGTAACGAAGAAAATTCAGTCTATCTTCAACTAAATGAATTGTGGCGAAAAAAATATCTACGCAAATGTGTTCAATATTTCATGTTCATCCAGGTACTCAGTCTATTTTAAATGATCACTCAAATCATGTTGACTCCCTTCATTAGAGAATCATGAAAGTCACGATGTCGAATGGAAAAAAGTGTATTTTAATGCACTAACCTAACCTAAACTAACCTGTCATTAACTAAAATAATGAGCTAAGAAACGGTCCTTCGAAAAAGAACCTCAGAAGACAGAAATCACGTTGCCAAACTAAAATCGTCTTTGAAGAAATTATGTTTAAGTTACAAATGATATATTTTTGATTTGGGGCATTATTTCGAAGAAAATATCCTATATCCTGATGTTGGAAATAATAACTGTAGTTTTCAAAGTGAGTTTAATTGAATCTGTATTGATTTTGTTCTTGTGCTTTATTTGTCTCAGGCATACAAACTGAATCTCTCTTACTAGGTTTTGATTAGGTTTAATAAAATGTTTAGTACCGGAACTTGAATCACAATAATGAAATGAGAATTAGACTCAAAAAATATTTTGCGTTGCAATATTGCTATTTCCGTTCGACTGTGGGACAGCCATAACCTATACAGTTCAGGTCACCTTAGCTCAAAGAAAAATCATCGCTCACCTTTTATTACTAAGTGATAATCCAGGGCTAGAAACGGGAGGTAAGGCACATAGATCAGCAGGAGAAGGAGAATACATCGTTCTACTGCTATCACCACTGTCAGCATAAAACACGTGATTACTCGTTACTCTAGGACTAGACAGTTCTAGTTCGAAATCTTCTCCTGGTAGGAGAGGTATTTTAAATTTCGCGGGGTTCGTCACCCACTCTTGCAACGACTTTTGTAGCCTCCTAACGTGCAAGGGTTTCGACGCCATACCCACCAAAGACATTATTTCCAAGAATTCTTCCTCTCCGGCATCGCAAAGTTGTTGAACGTCATCACCGCCCATTTCTAGAAGAGTATCGTAGTACAGGAGTAACGATGCATTCTGCATCACCCTGTACAGTTGCAGTTCGGCCTGGTTACTAGGGTATGAAGTGGGGAAAACTGCAACAAATGGAAAGAAATTACTTATGTCAAATGGTCAAAGAAATAACAATAACAAAGAATAAAACAAGTCAATTATTATCATGAATCAAGCCATAAGTCTAAATTTTTACGAACGGATTTATATTATTAATAATATGAATCAACAAGAACTAACACACCCCATTCCTTTCATTATTGGGAGCAAAAAACATAGCCTGTATTTTTTTTGGGTTGATGGTCATGCACGAAATACGTCATATAGTAATTGAAAATTTTCATTAGAATGTGTAAGGTATGTGAATTTGAATGAACAATACAATTGCGTATTATCGGGGTAGTGATATATTTTACTGTGGTAGACAAATTCATGAAAGTAACTGATATAAATTGCAAAAAGGAGTGGTCCAAGGACAGAACCATGCGGTACACCAAAGTTTTTTGAAATTGTAGTTGAGAGGTTACCATCAAGCTGAAAAGTTTGGGTCCTTTCAAAAAGATAGCTTTTCCACACTATTACTACACACTATGGTTGAACCCAATCCATTATGGTTTTTTACACGAAACGGATGGATCTAAAGTGTCGAGTGCTTTACTGTAGTCAAACATAGTGAGGCAAATGAAATTACCTTCGTCAGTCGATATGAAAATATCATTTTCGATATTTTTATTTTTTATTAAAATTTGTCTCTCTTTGATAAAATAGTGGATTGACTTACTGACCTTCATTATAATACTCGTTGAGAGGAATCAAACTGATTCTATAGCAATGCTTGATATTTTGAAACTTTGGACTAGCAAATATGATTTTTCCAAGATTTATTTCATAATTCCAGAACTATAGCATTCACAAAAAACTATGAAGATGAACAAACATTTTTCCGATATTGGCTTGAATCGACGAAATTTTTACACAAAGGCTAATAACAAAATTTCAACTTTTTGAATAGTTCCTAAACTATTACATTCATGAAAAAAATTCGAATTCTTTGGAACACTTTGAGGCGAACAAAATGTATTTTCTAGAAATTTCGATACCTACAACAGTATGGGAGTTATGACTGAAATATTTTTTTTCTGAAATCATCGATATTTACTGCGCTTTTTAAGTAGGAAAAAAATATTACCAACTGTTCGTACACAATTATGAGGGAAACGAAAAACGGCCTTTAAACATTTTGTCACTCGATATTTTTGAAAAAAAATACAGGAAACTCAACGGTAAACAGTTTTTCTAATTTCCGATTTCTCACAAAAACAATAGGTCTGAAGATCTAGTGATATATTGAAGTGATGAAAATTGAGTGTATATCCCAATTCGTTGACAAAATTTTTCCAGACAGACCGACGGGCGGACATACGAATAAATGACATGCATTGAAAAATTTCATACTTCTCGATAACAACTAGCGGGTCTATTTTGTCGAAAAAAAAAGTTGTGGTACGCTCTGAGGACCGTAGAATGTAGGTCATAGTATAAAATTCATAACATTGATATGGGATTAGACATTTGACATTACTAACCACTAGTTGAGATGAGACTTGAGAGATTTATGCACAATTGATTTCGTCACAATCAACAATGTGTCAATTTATATTAGGTCAGTTCCCAAGTCCAATTTACGTTATATTTGTTAATTTTTCTGCACTTATACTTTAGTATAGATCATGTCATTCCATAGTCGGAGCCTCACTTTGAGATCTTTTGGTCACTCCTGACCTGCACCACTTTTATCGATTTCTCAATTGTCGTTGCAGTCTCTGTCTGCATTTCTGTTTAGGTGGTTTTTTATTGAAGCGTGCGCATCTGAGAAGAAGTTTCTCCATTTCCTTTTTTCTCTTCGCAGGAAATCGCATTATATTTCCACAGCAAACGTCGATACTTGACCATTGATCATATTCAACAGATGTCACGTATCATAAATAAAGTTATGCAGCTCTTATGAATGTGGATTTCGATCAAATTCTCGCTGTAGAAATTAACCGCAAAAAGCGGTTTTATTAAATTTTACTCGTTTCGTGATTGCTACCCGTTATACTGCCACATGGAAATTTGAAGTGAACTTGATTTGTGTGTTTTCACAGAGACCGATCAAATCCCTAAAAGAACTAAAAAGAAGAATTAAAAAAGAATAGCTGAAAATAACAATTATATTGAGCAGAGAAACCTGAAACCAAATAACAGTAGAATAAATTTAAAGTAAAAATAGACCACGTGAACAGAAAGTAAAAATAAAAATTAAGAGATTCCAAGCCAAGTTACTTCACGACGTTTCGATTGCCAGTATCTACAAACATCTTCAAAATGTTCTATGGATCTTTCTGTGTATTATCACCTACCACAATCTGAAAAAATTTTAATGGAGAACTTTATGCTGGTATTAGGACAGCAAACTTCTAGTTAAATTACTGCGTAACTTCAATGTATTTTTCACAGAGAAAAATACGCTATTTATCAGTGTCTTGACAGCAAGGACTTTGTTCTCTCTAATGTGAATAAGTTTGTTTGATTCTTCGCTAACATTTCAGAAAACACCGGAAAGTGATCGGCATCCTGCTATAATTCGCCTTTTGAAATCATCAACATTATCAGGTTGCATTTTACAAATAACGGGTTCAAGAAGATTCCAAAGAAAGAAGTTTGAAGGAGTTATATCCCGTGATCTGTGAGGCCATTCAATTGCAGCTATTCTGCCAATCCATCTATTCGGTAGCTGCCACGTTTGTGGTAATTTCATGTACATTTCCACTCAGAAAAAATTAACATACATAGCTGAAATAGATTCTCATCTGCGTAGGCTAGGAAAGCCGTTGACTTTATGAGACAAGGTTTCTCAAAATATTTTATTTTTTTAACAAAATCATCATCATGTAGCTTTTGAAGCATCATATTAGAGGAAATGAATTTTACAGTCTCGCCCCTCAGTTTGAGTTCCTTTTTATGTGTGTTCGTCTTTATGTATGTCTGTAGTCACTCCACTATACAAGGGCGGCAATAATGACGAAGTTTTAAACTCTCGTCCAATTTGTCTTATCCCCTCATTAGCCAAACTGATTGTAAAAAATTGTTCAACTGATATCCTAATGTCACATAATATAAGAAGTTGAAAATAATTTGGATTCCAACCGAAAAAGTGTACTAATGATACCATATTGTCTCTTCTGAACAAAGTTTATAATAATATAACCAATCGTGAATCAGCTGCAGCAGTGTTTTGTTATTTATCCAAAGCATTCGATTGTATAAATCATGGAATACTACTCAGAAAACTGTATCATTATGGCATTGATGGATTAATTCATAAGTGATTTGAATCATACCTCTCTGGTAGAATTCAAATTGTTAAAATGCCTACTTCATTATCAACTGCAGTTAGTATAAAAAGTGGTGTCCCTCAGGGGTCCATTCTTGGTCCCATTATCTTTCTTTATCTTATAAAGGTAAAGTTCACGTTATTCGCAGATGATACCAAAATACTATGGCACAGTAAAAATACCTCAAATCTCCACAAGGTTATATTTTCAGATATCAGGATCATCAAGGACAAAACTTATTTGATATCTTTTCGGTGCTCTATTGGCAACTTTCGAATTACTATCAATGAAACTGTTATCGAGAATAAATTAAGCACTAAATTCCTAGGCAAAATCATAGATAACGACTTGAGATTTGAAGACCATATCAGAACACTTAACTACAAAACTTTCTTCGGGTTGTTATGCGGTAAGAATAACTTCTAGAGAATTTGGATCTTCTGAGCTAAATCTGTTTGCTATTCACTAATAAAAATGATGTCGATTCTTTCTGTAGAAAAGTTAAAGTCATTATAAAAGTAGCACATGGTATTACGTACATCAATTCTGGCATATATTTTTGGAATCACCACTACTGCAGTATTGCTATTACACTCGTACACTTCTCGTGGATTTTCAAAGGTAGAAAGCTTCCAGACTAATCTCTGGTGCAATTCACGGTCGTTTATTCAAAGTCAGTGCCTAGAATACATGAAAGGGTGATCTGAGATTATAATCCAGAAACGATACAGTATACACAGTATTCTAGTTGTCATTGAATCCTGCAACTTACCCTGCATACAAAACGACATATTCATAAACTGATTCAAGTTATTATACAGACGAAATATAATATAGAAGAAAATGGTTATCATACCTTTTAAGTAACCTACTTCACAATACTGAATTTGAACATTTTTTGAAAGATTATCTTCCGAAATTATACAATATACTTCATGTTCCATTCGAACAACACCTTTGACCAGTTTTACTATTTTACGAGCCGTCATAACCGGAAAACCACGTCTATCGACAATAGTTTATGTTTTTCATTTTATCGCACCTTACCTCACACGCTTAGGGCCATAAGATTATGAAGAAACAATGAGTTTTGGTCTGTTTGCCTTATGAGACACGTACGTATTTAACTGTTCAATACATGGTGTTACAAAAAGGTTGCTGCACTTCAATAAAACAAACGCTTAAAACACTATATAATGCAAGTTTTGAAATACCTTGAAATAGAATCTGTTGGTGGAAAGTTCGAAAAAAAACGCAATTGAAACGTTTCTTCATCACACCTTTCGCGTCGATTTGAGAGGCCGCTTGAATTTATTTCGTCAATTTCAATTTGGCGACAACTCCTAAGATACTAACCCAAATTATTGTACCGACCTAGTTTAACGAATTCAACTTAAAAGCTATTCGAATACAATTCATAGTGTGAAATTTGTTTGAATATTATCACGGATAGACCAATAAAAAACAATATGTAGTCACCGATAAACCTTAAAAGCGAGACAAATCCAAAAATGTTCAAAAAAAACCTCAAAAAAGATATCCTGTGCAGAAATAGCTGGAAAAATAGAGCACCAATCCGACATCTTTCAAGCTTCAATGTAGTACATCTTCCAAACATATCTCTGTAACTAATACAATATAACTAATATAATGAGTCAGTATCATGAATTCCAAAATAGTTGCGTCATGTATGTTCATCTTGATAT